CGCCTTGTATACTCGCGCTCTGATTGGGCGCGGATTTTTGTTAATAACTCAATAAGCACGCCTCGGACAACTTTTTAAAGCACCGTCATGCAGGATGGACAAGAAGGAAAACAATACATGGGCAAAGCGACAAAGAGTATTTCACAAACGCATATATGTATATGTATTTCAATAAAGAACAGACAAACAAATATTTGTACATTTATCAGGCACTACAGTGAAACAGTTTTTATTATTATTTCGCATACAAACAATCCGGTCGTTCGACAAACTTTTTAATCATTGTGTCAAACAGCTCGCTTCCAGTGTGATTATCATCGTATGCAAAACCGACAAACCCGGCCCGTAGTCCAAACGTCTCCACGAGCTTACCGACGTTTTTCTTTATCAGTTTCACATCGTATGCGTCTCAAAACACAAGTATGCCTTCTTCATTTATACATAACTAAGAACGTTTTTTGGAAATATATATAAAATATAAGAAATATGTAAATATATAAAAAATAAAATATCTCGAACAAGAGTGAATTTATGTAATAGCTTACGTTAGCGATCACCGTTTCCATACCGATTACAAACTGAATACTATAAAAGATAAGTAACAATCGTGACCGAGTCGCGTTCTTAAAACTTATCCATACAACAAGTCCCATTCATTCATGTTTTACCCTCGTTCTGTTATGTCTCGTATCTATCTACCACAGAAATGAGCTAATCGACCGCGAGTTCACGAATATCAAATACATTCGACTATCGAGCAGTAATCATGATTTTGACCAGGCTCATCACAAACATTCCACGACCGTACAAAGATGAAGAAGGAGTCACGCGAGTCAGGGTTCAAGCCTAATCGCGAGTTTACGAAGGGTTTTTACATAGAAGCAAGAGGAATCCCTCACCATTCCCAATGGAAAGTGTCTTTCACATAAATTAATCCCCGGCACGTTGTTCAACACTGCGCTACATTCTCCGACAAGTCCCATCTTATACTTCTGATACCAACAAGTACGATCTATCCCCGCCATTAATTTACTCAGAACAAGGGTCAACAATACGCTTCATTAACATACATCCACATTAAACAAACGCTCAACTAACAGGCAAACAGGCAGACAAAGAAGTAGTACAATTTAAAACTAGTATCACGGAAAGTATTCATCCCGACTCTTAAGTCTAAAACGTAACCATATATGTAAAGTAATTTAATACCAGCAAACAAAAATAAAGGCAATCAGTTTATCATACGACAGACCAAGGTGAACAGAGACAAAATCAAACAGGACAAATGAACTCATAACGAATCAAGGACGATCGAACATTGTCAAATAACTAACATATTCCCATACCACGCGAAAGCACACCATCGATTAATCATTAATTAATTCAGAGTTACTACGCATAATTTGTCTGAATGATCGGGGCATTCCTCGGGTGATTATTCCATTCGAATCCTTTTACCCTTTTGCTCTCCACCTCAAGAACCAGAGGAGGTCAGCAGCAACTCAACGCCGAGATCAATTAAAAGAATAAATGACAAAGCGTTTGAACATAAAGTCCGTCGAGAGCCATTGTCGGTCATAAAATTCGTCATCTAATGAACCAACGGGCAAAATCAGAATCAGAATCAACTCGAACCCCGCGAATGCCGACCTCCCGGCCCAGCAAGACTCGAAGAATACCCCGATCAACCAGAGTTCTACCCTTTCGTTTTCGTTTTCGTTTTCCCACATCTATCCAATTGATCGACGCATCGTTGTCGAAAGCTCGATCCGACTCGTCCGGTACTCCCTAGATGCTATCCCAATTCCGTGTCCGTCCTTTCCGTTCCTCGTCAATGTTCCTGTTGATTGATTAGACGACTATCCTTCGTCCTGTATCCGTCCTGTTCCAGTGGTCGTACCGTATACCAGCCGTCGTCCTACTTCTTCACTGTTCTAAATACGATTAAAGAGCAACTTGAATAAATAAATGTCCTTGAACATAACATAACATACTGTGCATGCGCTCGAACTCCGTCTCGACCGGTCTACCGATTCGCGGCACTCCGGCCGTCCGCCGGTTTCATTATCAATTAAAGAAGAGAAATGAAGGGAAAACTTTACCAAAAGTCATTCACGTGTAACATAAAGAGAACAGGATACGTTCGTCATATATTCAATCTTGAAATCGTTGACTAAAGATCCTCAAACTCTCAGAGTATTAGAGACAAATACGTTAACAGAGATGATGAAAAGAACAATGGAAGAAAATAAGAGTTGTACAAAATTTCAGAGAATAGATGCATCAATATTACACCAACCTTTCCGTTTTCGGTTTGCCGTGCGACGAGGTCTTGTGACTTTCCCTCCTTACAGCTTGCCTTGCTACCGGTGTCTTCTCGATTTTTGCAGCTTCCTCCTCCAGCGGGAGAGAGATTGCCAGCGTGGACGACGCTCCCGATGAGTCCTTATCGGCACTCGCGATTCCAGAGTCATCGTCTTTTTCAGCATGCCTTTTCACCACTCTTATGACTTTACCTTTTGTACGTTCTTTCCCGTGCGAAAAGCCGTCTTCAACCTTGGTGTTCACCGGCTTCGGTGTAGATGAGCTCCTTGCTCGTTCCGCGTCTATGACCTTATTCTTCTCTTGTACTATCCCCTCCTCCATCCCCTCGAATCCTTCGAGGTTCGTAGATAAAATGAATTCATCTCCTGCCGCGTCAAACGGCAGGATCTCCTGTCCCTGGGACGGGACATCCTCAATCATCGTGGAGTCGTTCAAGGCCATAGCCATCAGATCCGCCGCATCCTCTGTTGTTTGTTGAACCACGTCCTCGAGTTCAAGCGCAAAGTCGTCGTCGGTGACCTCCACTTCCACGTGTTCTCTATGATCGCGCGTACTCTTCGCCGGGACCACCGTGAGGATGTTAAATTTATGCACACCCGCTTCATCTAAGGATAACCTGTTTCATCGCTTTCGTAAGGTCCCAACAGACCTCCCTTCCATCTCTAAGGTGATTATTAACCCGGCGCGTGTGAACTTTTCGCGGATCACCCTCCACCGCGCAACCTCGAGGCCGTGGTTGTATCTCTCTAACTCATGAATGATATTTCTCCCGGTAAAGCGAGAGTGGGTCGCTCTACCCTCTACGATAAACCGGTTATCAAGCGCTTCCCGTTCCTCTACGTTTAACTTACAGTCGCTCGTGACTTTTACAAACTTGATCGCCACCCGTAACCACTTGACAGTGGCCTCCTTATCGCATGTCAGGAGAATTCCTCCGTTTTTACGGAAGAATGATAGGAATCCTGGCTGAATAAATGGCAAAGATTTCTTTCTCCTTGCTTCTATATAGCTCATCACACACCTGTTGAGAGCGTCACCGAACTCTTCTGCCTCTTTAAGTGTCAAGGACCTGTCCGGAAATCCTTCCGGGACAATAGCCACCTGGTACCCTTGCTCCGTATCGTTTCTTGCAAACGGACGATTCATCTTGAAGACAACTTCGAGTTCAGTATCAAACACAGAAAAACAGAACAAAGTCACAGAGATCTCTCGGATTATCTATTCTATACGCACAGACTGTGTCTCCGCACTCACAGTAAAAACAAGACCCTTTTAGATATACATATGATTTGAAAAAGTAATAAAACGTTAAATGTCCCAAATATCAGTTGAAGGGTCGTCCTCCTCCACACTTTCCATCAAATCCTCTTCCTCCTCTTGTTCTTCTTCCTTTTTCCTTTTTGGCTCCAATTCATCGTCACTATCTTCTTCACCCACATACTTGCGTTTTGTTGAAAAGATATCCATGTGCTCAGCTAACCAACAATGCCTATGCTCAATTTGCCTATTAATTGTTTTCTCTCTGCTGTATTTGACTGAGGGATCTCTAGTTACAACGAATGACCTCCCTGTTATATATGTTATAAATTTAGACCCTATCTCAATCTTGTCTTTTTCCTCTTCCAGGTATTTGATGGACCGAATCTTCAAGCCGGGTATTATCTCTTTCGATAGTCTATAGCCGTCCAAGAGAGTTTGGAGTGGAGCTGTGTAGTCCTTTTCATCTGTTCTCGTCAACTCCATTCCAAATAGAGAGTAATAACCCTTTGCATGATATCGGAAAATGCCTTCTTTAGCTGTTAAGTCTATTATTTGCCCTTGAATTGTAAACCTGTAGCGTATATTTCTTACATCTAGGGGGGATTGATAGCAGAAGCAGTAAAAGAATGCAGCAAAACCTGGATCCCATCCGTTGTCGACTTGTTTCAGCTCTTTTATGAGCTCTCCAGCCATCCCTTCCTTCCCGTTCTTTGAACAGCCAATCGTAGCCGTTCGATATTCGATCATTGGTCAGACGAATACCCTACCTCTCGACTCCGTGCTCCCTATTCGACGGTCATAACCTTCACCCTCGCTCTAACAATTTACATACGACACTGTCCCACCCATCTTACTCCTTCCTGGCTCTTTCTCCGTTACCGCTCCCCTTTCCAAAGACAAAGACTCGATGCCACTCGATCAATTGATCATGATGAAATCTATCTTTTTAATAAAAAGACAATATCTTATAATACATTCCTATTCAAAGATCCCATATTAACCAGAGATTTCAATCAAGTTCCCATCGTCCCGCGAGTTCCAATCATATTCATCCCTATATCATTACCAATTGTATCTTTAGTAAATAAACTACAGCAACACTAACAACAAATCCTATCCTCCCTCACTCACAAACCATGCAGCTCTTTATACTGATTACATGAATCACAACAGATTCGTTTGCAACATATTTAATTCAAATCAAATAATATCCATCATTCCAAATTACCAGGCCTTCAATTACAATCCTAACAGACATATACAGCAATGTTTAACCGCTCTACCGGCTTTCCCTTTTTCAGGACAATACGCGTGCCTCGCCTTTTGTCGAAACTATCTATCCCTCGTCATCCTTCCCGGAAATACTTTGACGCTGGAAATTCCCATCCCAAACTTCAACCACTTTACCTTCGTATATTTCAAACTCTTTTAAGACAGATTGAAAATAAACAGACGAAATTCCCAAAGATCCGTTTTCCTTCGTAAACCCACTCATTTTAAAAAAACTCCTATTCAATTCGTGTTAAAAATTTTACTCGAGTTATTTACAACTCAAGGGTCGACCCAAGGAAATATACAATTGTCAATAAAGTTGTTGTCGTTCGTAAAACCCCTGTACCAGTGACTATTGTTTATATCAAGATACCTATTTAACCAGCAGACATAACGGTTAATTAAACATTCCACTAGTTCAATACTATACTCGATCAAACAGTCACCATCAGCTCGTTTGATAATAATCAATCCAACCGGCAGATTATCCATATCCTTGCTGCGTGATAATTCAAACTAAACAACATTATTAAATCTTCCAAATCTAATTCGAGATCAGTCCGAATTCATCAAATTCCAGAATTAGTTCGTACCTATCAAAAATCCCGATCCAAGATGAAGGAATTCACTCTGAATTCTTATCTCAATTATCCGATGGTGTTGCGTTTATCAGGATCGTATCAATTTATAAAGGAAACTGAGAATCTTGTATAGAGTTCGAAATTGCATTGCTACATAATTCGACTGTAACTTATTTAAGAACCCCGTTTGTCACTTCTCGACCAATAAACGAATCACAAACACCGCGTCAGCCCCGTCAGACAATTTATTTAACAAAAAGCTTCCTCACGAATTGCATGCCTATACGGCAGCTTAAATTCCTATCATTTATCGATGCAGTAAAAATCTTGGATAAATATCCAATATCCAACACACATTGTACCGTATGTACAAAGATTATTACGAAAAGAACCATATCGGCGATTCCGCCGTACACCCCGCCAGCCCATCAAGAATATCTACATTTACATTTCTTCCAGGGCCAGCAGGGCAGAGAAAACATGTAACTAAAAAAACAGTTACACCAAGACAATCCACACATTAAAAATAATGCGTCCACCCATGCTCATCGATTAATAAATCATGGATCCTTGTTTCATATATTTAACCAGTATTTTAACGTAACAATTTAACCTGCCAGAGTCTTTATCATGATCATTTCGCATGTGATCAAGATAACATCCAAGGAGCCAGGAAAAGATTAACAAGGAACCAATCCTTCTTATAAAACAAAGAGTCTTCACAATGATCACATTCCAAGTGTACAGTGAAAAATAATAAAAAAAAACCCCATATGTGAGAAATTCTATAGGCAACCGACCAAGAATTAATCAAGAATAAAGAAGATCTATACCCGAATTCAATTATCCCACAAACATCCAAGGTCGACAATTCACAAAAGCTTCCAATAGTTGTAATCCATCTGTACCATTTCACAAAGCTTAATTACTAACCCCAATTGTACTTTATCAACAACAGTGATTACCGCCCCTATCCGTACAAGAACAAAAATAAAAGACAAAATGAGACCTATGAGAAACAAGAACAAACCAGCAACAAAAGTAACACATCAGGGCCAACATCAGAATGAAAAAAATAATTGAAGATAAATTCCTGTAGACGAGGGGATTTCAGATGTGAGCACTATTATTAAG